CCAAACCTACTCCCAAATGCCAACTCTTACTCCCAAACTTGCACTTTGAGGAAGCAAACAAACTAATTTTTTCTACTTCTATTCCACAAGGCAGAAATGAATATGCCTGTCTAGTCCTGAGGTATCACTGGAACCAGAAATTCTGGATGGGGTGGGGCTGGAGAGATGGGGGTGTGGCTCAGAGGTTGAGAACACTGGTTGTTACTCCAGGTCCTGAGTTCAATTCCCAGCAACCACAAGATGGCTGACAACCATCCATGAGATCTGGTCCACTCTTTTGGTAAAAAGTCATACAAGCAGATAGATCACTCATATACATAACTTAAAAATAAATCTTAAAAAATAAATCCTAGAACCCTGTTAATTAGTTAACCCCTTAACTTGTCCTTTGAAAAGCCCCTAAAAAATGGTAATGGAGTTGAGGACTCCCTCAACATCTGGCACTCAGATGTTAAGATGTTCTGCTACTAAATACTTACCAAGCTAGTACCTGGCAACTAGGCTTTCAACTAACTTATTTCCTATGCTTACAAGGCAGCTCACTCTCACAGGGATAGACTTAAATGCTACAGGAATAGACCTGTATCAGCTAGAGATGGCTGAGCACTAAGACGACTTGATGCTCTTGAAGAGGACCTGGAGTTTTTGATTCCCAGCATTCACACAGCAGCTCCTAACTGAGCTGGAGTTCCAGGGAATCCTACACCACTTTCTGACTTCCATAGGCACCAGGAATACAAGTGGTACACACACACCCATACAGTTTTTTTAAATTTCCCATTAATAAACAGTCACATATTAGCTAGGCAGTGGTGGCCCATGCCTTTAATCCCAGTAACCAAGAGCACAGGTCAGCTTGATCTACAAAGCAAGCTCCAGGACAGCCATCTAGAAAACCCTAATAAATTAAAATATGCATACATACAGTCACTTATCTCAGGAACTAAATTAAAGCCAGCATATGAAAATCCCTTAAACTCAATCCCTGAGAAATTACACCATGACTGTCCCAAATGTATGACATCTGTCAAGAAACCAAAACAATACCAGCATTGGATCTTATGTGTTTACCAAAGCCCTGGCCTTTCTGCTCTTAGGGTAAGCAACCTGATGGCAATACAAGTCAGGCGGCAACAGGATAGCAAGGAAGGAACAGAAATATAAGGTTAACCGCCCGCCATTCTTAGTTGTTAGTTTTAACAGTAAGCTGTCTCCTTAGCCCCTCTTTCCACTAACTTCAAATGGCAAAACAATACTGAAAAGCCCATACCACACTACTTCAGGGTTCTACATGTGTAGTTTTTAACTTAGAACACACAGAATGAAATAAACCATACAGGACTTGAGAGAAAAACACCAAAAGCAGTATAATACTTGATATATTTTATTATCAATAACAAACAGCTGCTTTAATATCTGTCCTACAGCTGTTAATGGGTGAGAAGGCACCCTTGACCCTAAACAAGTAAAACTCATATTAAGCCTTTATATACAAGCAAATTTAGAGCTCTTTTAAAGTGTCCAAAGCTATTAGTTTAATTGAGTAATTAAACTAATCTTAACATATCTGAACAATGAACTAAAATGTTCAAAAATTTTTCTAGTACAAAAAATTAAATGCTTTAGTTATAAAAGAGCTCTGTCAATATACACAAACTATATACTTCAGACAGTCACAAAAGTGTGAGCAGAAGGCTTATCAAAAGACATTTAATACAATTAGTTTTCAACAACCCCTTGGTGGTCCACATCTACAAAGAAAGCCAGCCCAACCCCCCTCCAAACCCCACCCCACAGAAAAGCACATACTTACCAGAAGTTTTAGCAAGTATGGTTTTTTTGGGAATTTGTTTTTTGTTTTGTTTTTTTAAAAAAAAAAAAAGGTCCCCAGGGCAAGTTATTTACAGTTTAATTGCCACTGTCAACTGATCTGGACCTGGACCGAGATCGGGACCTCTGGCGATCCACGGATGCTGGAGACTTAGATCTACTTGAAGAACCGCGTTTCTGGCTCTTCTCAGGCACAGGAGACCTACTACCAGAACGGGACTTGCTCCGGCTCCGGCTCCTGCTTCTTGAGCGGCTATAAGACTTGCTCCTACGGGAACGAGATCGGCTACGGGACCTAGAGGAACTCCTGGTCCGAGATCGTGACCTGCTTCTTGACCTGCTATGAAAAATGGGGAGGAAAGAGAAAAAAGGACATTAAGCTGTATGACAAGGCTCTAAAAGCCAGTTTAGTAAAACTTTTGGTTTAAAAATATCAATAAAAGGGTACCTGTGCCTTTTGCTGCCTTCGATTAATTTGATTTTTCTCCCATTAATTTCCTTTCCAGAAAGTTTTTCAATAGCATTCTTTAAGTCACCATAAGAGGCAAACTCAACTACCCTAAAATGGGAGGAAGGAGAAAAAAATGCCTTTAAAGCTCACATACCAATAGCCTTGCAAACCACATATATCAAAACAAACATGAATCCCATTTCCTGCTCATTCTGATTCTGCTGACATACACAGCACAGTATGGTTCTGAAGCAGACAACTGTTTTGTGAAGTGTCTTCCCATTTACTGTCAATGTGCAGCATCCTGCCAGGTCCCTACTAAATGGCAGCATCAACCAGCCCTTGTAATAAAACTGGTCTCCCAAAACTGCCAATGCAAAACTACCACAATCAAGCACATGCATACTTTGGATCCTAGCAATGTCACAAGGAAGTTTCCAGGGTACTGAAAAGGCCTCATACTCACCCTTCATTTAGTTTAGGTCGGTGTGCATCCGCAAAGGTTACTTCCCCAGCTTGTCTCATGAAATCTTTGAGATCCTTAACACAAGACAGTTATGTTAAGGAGAGAAAAGGCAAAAGTGACACACAAACAACCACATGGTATAAAAACAAGACTACTGAAAGAGAAGTTGTTAGATAAAGTACAAACATGGCATATACCACACTTGTATTCTATCAGAGTTCAAAAATTATGCCAGGGCACGAAATAAGCAAATAGCATATTGCTTTTAAGCAAAATGCTAGAGGAAAATTCCAGTTTTTAACATTATAGTATTAGTCTAACTGAGCTCAGTACAAAAGGGGGAAAAAACAAACAAAAAAAACAAAACAAACAACAAAAAAAACAAAAGGAACAGTACATGTTTTAAAGACTAAAGTAGAAGTTTTATATTAAAAAAAAACATTTACAAAGACACCAGTTATTTTGTGCCCCATATGTCATTAAAAAAATTTACTTTACCTTTATTAACATTTCCCTAGGCTAGTCAAGCAGCAAACCATTAAGCGGTCGGAGAAACCTTCATGACATAGGCCCGACTGGCTCTTCGCCACCCACTTGAAGGATACTACCCAATCGATGGAAGCCTTTAATCGCACAGCCCTCCCTATTAGCAGACTACTGGCGATGCAGACATGTTTTACTCTTGTGCAGTTACCAAGGACCACTTTACTGCGATCAGGATTCCAACGACCAACTAATTGCGTATCTTTCAACTCTTTCGACCAGGACCTCTTATTCGGAAGCGTTACAGGAAGACAGCTCTCAACTTAGGGATCAGATCACGTTATCAACGTTCTGGGATCGCTGCAACCCGGCACTTCAAGTAAGTGCACCGATTACGTCTAGACCGGCAAACACAGATCTAGAGGTGGCCAACTGATCACTGTAGGAGCTGACTGGCAAAGTCAACCAGGCCCAACCAAGAGTGACCAAGACAACGATTAGGATAACCCACAGGCACTCCTCGTCATAAGGCCAACGACACAGATAGGCTGGCAAATAAAGGGTTTAATATTTGGTTAAAATTGATTTTTAAAAACATGAAAAAATAACCTCAAAACAATTACATTTGATCACTAGTTATTAAAATCTGAAACATCCCCCAGTTACATTTAATTAAAGTTTAAAAGTATAGTTCAATTAAATCCATTAATTTAAGATAAAACTTTTAATATATTAATAAAACATTAACTACCCAGTAACATTTTAAAATTCCACATTAAAATAACTCAAAACTGTATTTCAACAAACCTGCCAGCTGACTCTTGACGATAAATTCTCAACTATAAGTCGATTTTCTGTTCTTACGGGTGGAGCATTTCTGAAGAAGAAAACAAGCAAGGTCACATTTTACTGACAAATTCGGGCAACACTTCCACGGACTCTGTGGGTTTCAGTGGGTGGATTATGCAGACTTAAGTGGCTCCCACCATAAACACTAGAGGCCATCACTTGCCCACCACACACCGTCTATCATTTCGTGGTCTGCGACTACTAAATCGGTCGGAGTATCGTCCTCTTCCTCGCCCACCTCGAGACCGAGCGCGAGCATGTTCAATAGTAACCCTATGAAGAGAAATAAAAATGCCTATTACATGCTTACCCCACACGTAAGAGCACTCCAACAGCTTGCTCTATTATCCTGGGGAAACTGCTTATGCTGATCATGCCTACCTTTCGCTGCAAAGTTCTTTCCCATCAAGTTCATAAACTGCGTCATCTGCATCCCTTGGGTCCTCAAATTCCTACAATTACATTACAGTAGGACACTTAGTGGGACTTTTGGCCAGGCATTCTACAGCATATTAAGATCACGACCAGTGTTAGATGACATCTATAAGCCGGGCAGTGGCCAACACCTTTAATCCCAGAAGAAGCAGGTGGATCTCTGAGTTCGAGACCAGGCTGGTCTGAGAGTTCCAGGACACCTCTACCTACGTTTGTCTTTCCGAGGCAGGGTTTTCTCTCTAGCCTTGGCTATCCTCAAACTCAGAGGTCCATTCCACTGCCTCTGCCTCCCAACCATGGGCCACCGACAGCCGGTTACCCCTTGACAGATACTTCACTCAGTTCGAGGAAATACTTACCACAAACCCAAAACCTCTTTTCAGATCAATATCTCTGATCCGCCCATAACCCTTGAAGAATCTTTCCACATCTTTCTCCCTCGCTGCTGGATTTAGTCTCCCGATGAACACTCGACAGCCACTCATGATGCCCGGCTAGTGTTTCCTGTTAAGCAGTAAAAATCGATCGAGATGCTATTTAAGGACGGCACGGGGGAACCACCGGCCAAGCCGTCAAACACCTACAGAGCCTAAAAACCGCTTACCAACTGCTGTACCAACAGTTCGGGCCCCCTCACGTTCAAAACTCAAATGAAAACGCAACTCCCCAAACGACCCTCTCCCCGGGTTCCACACCGCAGGCAACCGCAACGCCCACTTGCCAGCTTTCTAGACTGCGCAGCCGCTCTCCGCTCCCGGGCCCCCTCCCATCTGCCGCAGTTAGGAAAGGCCGAGAAAAGCCAGCGAAGCCGGCCCCGCCCTCCGCAAGGCCTCGTCCAATAGCAGCCGGCCGCGCGAGCGTCGCGGCCTCCTCCCCGAGCGTCACAAGCCGGAATCTCGCGACGCCACAGCCGAGCTTGCGCAGTCGGCGACGGGCGCGTTCGCAGCACAAAATGGCGGCGTCTGCGGCGGGGGAGGAGCGAGCCAGCCGAGCTCCGTCCTCAGCCCGGGGCGAGCCGAGCCTTGAGCACCGCGCCCGCCGGCCACAAGGGAGCCCCCAGCGGCCCCGGGCAAGGCCGTCTCCCGGCGTAGAGGCGGAATGACGCCGGATAAGGAGCGCCTAAGGGTGGCGGGGAGAAGCGCGCTGCTTCCCCCTACGAACGCCCTCCCCGACGCCCGCCCTTCCGCCGTGTGTCCCCTCAAGCAGCACCCAAAGGGAGACGTGCCCCAGCGCCCACCTCAATCAACTGCGCTCTCTAGACGCCGTCCTCCGCAAAGAGCGAAGCCCCGGCCACTCGCGACCCGAGCGGCCATGAAGAAGCCTCGATCCGAGAAGCCTTGCCCTCAAAGCGAGCCACTCACCTACCGGACACGGTCTCTGGCGGCTGAGACCCGGAGAGGTCCGCAGTCTGCGACGGAGCTGGCAGCCTCCCTACAGACCCGAACTCAACCCGTCTACGTCTCTCCACAACTGACGCACTTAGCGGCTCGGGCGTTTCACAAAATGGAAGGAACGTCGTGCGTCACTTCCAGGGCGGCTCCAGGAGCTCGGGTACCGCCCAGTTGGAGCCAAGAACGGAAGTTTCCGCGGAGCCGGAAGTCCCAGTGGGGCGGGGTTTCCCCCCGCCGTGACCCCGAGACGACTGCAGCGGGTGGTCGGTGGGTGGTGGGGGTGGTGGGGGTAGACGTTCGCTCCGTCAGCGTCCCAAAAATACTCCATGACACATCTTTGGATACAAAAAAATGTATCCGAAGCTTTTCTTGGCTATCTCGAATATTACCTAGGCTTTATACAAACACCAGTTTCTGTGGCGCACGCCTTTTATCAGAGTGCTGGGATTAAAGGTATGGGCCATCAACACCCGGCTTCTTTGATGTTTTTATCTGTAACCCAAAGCAGCATCTAAATTTTAAGATGTCCCTAGAATAGGATTACAGATTGTCAACTAGGGTTACTAGGCGATGATTAGTAGCTCAGGAAGCAGGAAAAAAAAAAACCTTATAAGGATATATATTTGTTAAATAAAAATTCAAAAGCTTACTACAGAGGGCTAAGTGCTTTGGAGGCATGCTGTGAATCAGGACAGGAGTTTGAATCCCAGTGCCTGCTGAAGTGTCAGTCCAGCATGGCAGCCATCCATAATCCTAGCATGCTGTTGCTGAAGCAAGCTGGGTAGATGGACTAACAGGATCAGTGAGTTCTGAGATCAAGTGAAAAACCCTGCCCTAATGTATGAGATGGAAAGTGATTGAGAGAGACACATGGGCTTAACCTCGCCTCCACACACATGCATGTACACCACACACTAAAAACCACTATGCATCATTCCAGAAATGCTTGGAGCAGGGAGAGAACTACTTATATATCTGAATTTGTATAAACATTTTCCTCCCAAGTCATTCTATAGATGCATGGACATCCTTTCCAAAGTCATCCAAGCACATAACATGTTTAGTAGAGGAAAAAAAGATAGAGATCACAGACTAAAAAAAAAGTTTATTGCCCACAAATGACAGATCTGCTAGCCAGCTCCCTTTTCCCAGAAATCAGGTCACACCCTCCCAGGAGCTGTAGGAGTTGCTAAGAAAGATTACTGTAGCTAGGTATGGTAAATAAGCATACTTCCAATCCCAGCGCTTGGGACACAGGCAGGAGGTTCTTTGTGACTACATAATGAGTTCCAGCCAGCAGCAGTGAAGAAGCGGCAGGGGGCAGGTCTTGATACTTGATACTTGAAAATCACAGTATTTGGAGGTGGTGAAAATCAAACTCAGGGTCTCACACATGCTAAACAAGAGTGCTACCCTTAAATTACAACCCCAGTCCCGGGACATGGCAGGGCACACCTTTGATCCCAGCATTAAGGAGGTAGAGGCAGGCAGATCTCTTGAGTTCAAGACCAGCCTGGTCTGTACAGAAAGTCTCAGGACATCTAGGGCTACACAGAGAAACTGTACTATCACAGGTAAAAACAACTTTATCGTGCTGGGGTGTACTTCAGTAGAGGGGCACTTGCCTGGCATGTGAGAGGCCCTAGCACTCAACTCTCAGCACATGAAAATAAACAGATAAGAAATCCTGTCTCCAAAACCTCACCTTTAATCCCAGCTGTCGGGAGGCAGAGGCAGGAGGATCTATCTGAGTTAGAGGCCAGCCTGGTCTACAAAGCTATACAGAGAAACCCTGTCTCAAAAAATCAAATATATATAAACCAGAAATTAGTTTGGTGAGGATAGATTGGTAAGGTAAGATTGGGAGTGTTTTCTTTTTTCAATAATTTTTCCTTCTGAATATTTTTCTTTTTATTTATTTATCTACATGTTGGTTTTTCGAGATGCCACCACCACCCAGCTTGTAAATACATCTAAAAAGGAAAAAGAGTATGTAATGTTTTTTAATATCTACTCCTAACTTTCAAAGAAGTAGCATTACTAAGCATTTAATTTTTCTTCTATAAGCACAGTTCTATTTTCAAGATGTGCACCACCCATCTGCATTTAATTTTGGTGTCATATGTACTTTTTTATATTGTGTACATTTCCATTATCTCTGTTTCAATGATCATGTGCAGTCAAGTGTCTACTGTTTTTCCACTTAACCTCACATTATTATACTCATGAGGAAACAAGTCATTTTGACCAGATAGTCTGTTTTTTGTTGTTGTTGTTTTTTTTTTTGACAGTTTCCTAAATATCACCAGATTCTTAAAAATCCCAGAAGAAAGGAAAAAAAAAGTCAAAATGGGCATGGTGGCACATGCCTCTAATCCCAGCACTCTGGAGGTAGGCAGGTTTCTGAGTTTGAAGACAGCCTGGTCTGACATAGCAAGTTTGGGGCCAGCCAGGACTACATAGTGAGAACCTGCATCAAAACAAAAGTTTCACTTCCTTTCTTCCAGCTTTTTTGTTTGTTTTTTGGTTTTGGTTTTTTTTTTTTTTTTTTGGTTTTTTTTTTTTTTTTTGGTTTTGTTTTTCAAGACAGGGTTTCTCGAACTCTCAGAGATCCGTCTGCCTCTGCCTCCAGAGTGCTGGGATTAAAGGCGTGTTCCACCAATGCCCAGCATTTTCTTCCAGTTTTTTTAATCCAAAAGTTTATTTTATTTCATTTTAATTCTATGTATATGTGTAGGTATGGGCACATGGATAAAAGGGTTCTTGGAAGCCAGCTTCGGAGCTGGAGGTACAGAACGTTGTGAGCTGCCCAATGTTGGTGCAGAGAATCAAACTTGAGTCCTCTGGAAGAACAGTACATGTTCTTAACCACTGAGCCATCTCTCCAGCCCAAATGACGTCTCGAAAGAATAAATCTGAAATAACTTCTTTTGGGATTTTAAAATGTTATGTTCAGGGTTTTGCCTTTAACCCCCATGCCTCGGGAGAGTGAAACAAGGGTTGCCAAATACTAGCGTTCAGTCTGGGTACAGAATGAATGAGACCCTGTGTAAAAATGAAACTGACTGGACACGGTAGTACACCCCTCTAATCCCAGCACTTCTGAAACAGAGATGTCAAGTATTTGTGAGTTCAAGGCCAGCCTGCTCTACATAATGAGGGAGGGAAGGAAGAAGGAAGGAGAAAGAAAAGAAAAATGTTCTGTTTCTCACTCAGATTCACCCCTATAAGCCTATCTTTCTCTTGTTAAATATTTTTTAATTAAAAATACCTACATAGTATTTAAAATACCATGACACTATGGTCATACAATACAGACATCTCGTTTCTGTCACCTATAGACCACAGTATGTTAGGGTGACCTCTCTGATTGTGATAACGCTGTTTTCTCTTGTTTAGACATTGTCATCTCAAATAAGAGCAGCTGTTGATCACCTGCAAGGAGATTCTCGGGGGACCAGGCCTATTTACAGTCCTAAATGGAGGGATGAGGGAAGCTCACGAGGTCCCTCTCTAGTGTTGTCTAAGTAGTAAATAATTACTGGGGAGAAGGCTTTCTGGTTGCAGCTGCCTTTGAATCACGAATTCTCCCATAAGTAACCCAACAAGCTCATTGGCTCACCAAGCTGGAGCTGAGTGGGCTCCTTTCTTCAGTCCACTGGAGCGCCCTCTCTTAGGTAAACATATGTTTCTGTTTCTTGACCCAGGAACCATCACACAACAGAAGCTGAAAATTCCCATTGCCTAGTGAGGTGTCGTAGCCGGAACAGCATCTCCCACACACAATTCATTCCTTACATGTTTGTGGCGATGCTGGTGTAAACAAGCTTGCCCGGCAGCCACTCATACACAGTACATACAGTACACAGTACTTGATCATGGAAGTAAAAGCAAGGTATTCAGTATTGTTGGCTTAGAGTATACTCTACTTTCTTTTTCTTTTTTATTTATTTATTTATTTATTTTGGAGACAGGTTTCTCTGTATACTTTTGGAGCCTATCTTAGCACTCACTCTGTAAACCAGGCTGGCCTCGAACTCAGATTGATCCTCCTGCCTCTGCCTCCCAGAAGCTGGGATTAAAGGTGTGTGCCACTACTGCCAGGTCTCTACTTTTTTACTTATTTTTTGAGATATTTTACTGTGTGTTTTAGTTACTTTATAGTAGTGTAATAAAATACTAACCAGAAACTTGAGAAGGAAAGGGTTTATTTCAGCCTACAACTTACAGTCCATCACGAAAGGACAGGAACTAAAAAAGCAGAGACCATGGAGGAACGATGCTTACTGGCTTACTTTCCAGGCCTTGCTCCGTCTCCTTTCTTAAACAACCCAGAACCACCTACCCAGGGGTGTCACTGCATACAGTGGTCTAGGTCCTCCTATATCAACCATTAATTACACAGTACCCCACAAACTTGCCAATTAGATGGAGATACCTTCTCAATGGAAGTTCCCTCTTGCCAAATGAGTCAAGTCTGTGTCAAGCGGACAAAAACTAACTTCATACCATGCCACACTGCAGCAGCCCACACGCCTGTTCTCCCAACTGGGTTTGTATAAGTACACTCTGTGATGTTCACACAGGGACCAAACCACCTGGAGGCAGTTCTCAGATGGTGTCACCTGTGCTGTGTTTATGGCATCCTGCTGCCTGGGGCCCTACTGGTAGAAATTTTGATTTAAATGGTTGGATGAGGGGCACCATTTGC